CCCCCCCCCCCCCCCCCGTCCCAAAATGAAGTTCTCGTTCAATATTCAAAAGGTCAAACTATATCTTCTTTCCTTAAATATTTTCATTGATTATTTGATAAAATAAAATAGTCAAAGTACCACTTGATTTGTAGAATTATTTTGTGTAGGTTTTAATTATATAAATTGTACTCCGTATTTTTTTTATTCCACACCAATTTTCAAATAAATTGAATTAAAAATATATTCATTCAAGCATCATAAACGAAACAAGAAGTTCATTTTGGGATGTAGGCGGGTAGTAGTACTGTGTTGTTGCTAAATTCTCATTTCTTTGACATTGAACACACATTTCATTGAGTCCTCTTATCTAACCATTTATGCACTTATCTTCTTGATATATTTCAGGGTTCCATAGTGAAACCAAATGTCAAATCCGGCTTTGATTGCCAAGCTGTTTAGACATATCAGCCAACATTCATTGATTAGAAAGAGTACATTTGCATGCTCCTACAGAACAGTTGCTCCATCTCTAGTCTCCAGCCAAAGCCATGCAAATGCAGCTGTATCTGCAAATCCCGTGATCAATTATCAAGAATCTCCCAAGTTTTCAGGGAAAGACAGTGAAAGTGAACAGAAACAACAAATAGGACAACATGTTTCAAGAAAGGAGAAGACCAGCTTTCTATTACAGATGCTTCGAGACCTCGAGGATAGTAAAGAAGGCATCTACAGTGCCTTGGACGCGTGGGTTGCGTGGGAGCAGAACTTCCCAATCGGGCTTCTAAAACACGTTCTACTCACACTTGAGAATGAGCAACAATGGCATAGAGTTATCCAAGTTATAAAGTGGATGTTAAGCAAGGGTCAAGGCAACACAAGAGGTACTTACGGGCAGCTAATTCGGGCATTAGATATGGACCATAGGGCGAACGAAGCGCGTGAAATTTGGAGGAAAAAAATTGGGTCAGACCTGCATTCGGTGCCATGGTCATTGTGCAGTCTGATGATTTCGGTGTATCATCGAAACGATATGCTGGAGGATCTTGTGAAGCTGTTCAAGGACTTGGAAGCGTTCGGGCGAAAACCACCAGAGAAGTCTATAGTGCAGAGAGTCGCCGATGCATATGAAGTGCTGGGCTTAGCCAAACATAAAGAGTGCTTAATGTTGAAGTACAAGGATCTCTTCAATGAGACGCCAGACGGGCGCCCCAAGAAATTTAGAGGATTTCAGACCAAGAGGAAAGGAGAAGCAAAGAAGGAAGCTTGAGGAAAGGGTTTTCTTATTGAAGCTAATCCATAACTCATTATAAATTTCTTGGCACAATATAGAGCGTGTTCTCTTCAATTTAATCTTATTACTTATTACTTATTACATATTACTTGTTCTTATTGGAATTAATTCAGATCAGATCAGATCAGAAATAACTTTAAATATAACTGCATTCAAATCAAATTAGATCAAAAATTATTTCAATCATATCAGAATCAATTAGATTAGGTGAAGAGAACAAAGTCTATATTCTCATGCACAGCTATTTTGACAGCCAGTGTTTATTTCATCACAGCTATTCTTGTAGAAAACTGCTATAGTGTATAGTGTATGTCCTAGATAAGCATATTATAGTCCTTACATTTGGCGCCCAAGATAAAATTTATTAGGTGCATGACTTATAAGTGAAACTATTATCTACGGAGTAATTAATTCACGTATTAATGATAATTAAGACATCACTAATCCCTTGAGACTAGTATGTAATGACGTTGAGTCATGTCTCGTAGGTTATGAATATGGATATATTAAATTAATTTTGTTGTAGGTAGATGTTAGTTCGATGTGCCGAGGGGTGAATAAGGCGTTTAAAGATTTTCGGAGTTTAATAAATCAGGATTGGCAAATGCAGAAGCAATGAAAATAACGCAAAAATAAAAAACGTAAAATATGAACATACTCCTTCCGTCCCACAAAACATTAACCATTTTGATATATTTTTAGTCAAACAGTTACATGCTTTGACCATAAATTAAATATAATATAAATAAAAAAATGTTATAAAAATTTGATATATCAAAACTAGATCTTAAGATGAATCCAATTATAGTTGATGGGTGTATTCCACCCAGGACCGGTCGGAAAAGGATGACCAAATAGTCGACCGGTCAAATGGTTTCTACTTGAAAGGGAGACCTTAATCGTCAGAAAAGGATGTTCGATTGACCAAACCTTTGACCGGTATACTTCTGATGGTATACTGGTCAAACTACTCTATCGCCTCGTTCATTCCCTAATTTCGATAAACGTATCCCTCAGAAATTACCCGGTGTAGTTTCTAGGGTTAGAAAGTATCGGCAGAGAAGAATCCAAAGGATATTGGATTGTAGCGACCAAGATCGACGGAGAATCGCTGGAGGTACTCAAGCATTCCATCCAAGGCGCTACCTGACAAGGGAGATATCTTCCTCGCAAGATGACAAGGCAGCTAAAGGACGAAGGCCATCACCTCCCACCATCCGAGAACATGTCTCAACGTGGGTGCACGACGTCCCGTCCCCTTCAAACCTAGTATAAATACTGCTCTTACCTTCGAAGGAAGGGATCTGAATGGATTCTCTCTAAACTCCATTGTAAAAGCTCCCGTGTATTCTCCTACATTTATAATATCAATTGGGCTACAGGTGTTTCCACCTACAGTCCTCCCGACCATCCGTGTGTTTTTACCTTTCTATTCTCCGAATCAAGTAAACGATCCTAGACCCGGTCTAGTATAGTTTACCCGGCTAGGTAATTTACACCATCAATATTAAATTTATATTATAATTCAATATACTTTTCCTACAATTTGTAGTCAAAGCATATAATTGTTTGATCAAATACTATTCAAAATGGGTAATATTTTGTGGGACGAAGGGAATACTAATTTATACTTGTTTGGAAAATTTCTAACCCAGTAGTCCAGTACCTTAAGGTTTCTTCTTAAGAAGTTCCGAATCTACTAAATCCCGGTCTCATGAATCTCGTCAAAGCACCGTACAAGATTTTTGCAAACAACTATTGCCAATAGGATTCACACCGAGATTTCACAACGGCTATCTCCAATCACTTACAATGAAGATTTGAAGACTAGTATCCACCTTTTCCCCAATAAGGATCTAAGAGTATCCTTAAACCTTTGCAAAAGGTTTTATACGACTATCCTCAACCGACTACCCAAAGATTTATACGACTATTCTTGATCATTACAATTTGTAATGGAAAATGTTTAGTGATCGTTCGAGAGACGTGGGACATGATTTTGAGTGATTAAAGAATGATTGGAGTCAAAATAAAGAAATCAACAAATTTAAAAAATCTGAACGTTTGATATGGTAAAAGTGCATTTACTGTTAAAGGCCAAACTGTGTTGGAAAACCAAGTTTCAAACGGAAACACACTAACAATAGCTTCCCACACGATTGTGCATTATAATCCGCTGATAGAGCATTACCGGCTGGCTCATTTTGCAACTTTTTAAAACGCCATTCAACTTTGTCAAAATCTTTTGCGTTTGTGTTTAAAATCTTTTGGATATTTGAAAATAGTTATAAGATAGCTTTGAACGTATTTTGTGAGTACATTTTAGCTTGTGAATGTAGATATATAAAATTATATCCTTACATTGAATTTTACCTATATTTTATGCTAGTTTGGTGTTTCTACTTCGTCTTTGATAAGTGTAACTTAATAAATTCTTGATTAACCTAAAACACTTAAACACACATTAGCTCATCTATTGTTTATTAACATCAAACCACGAGACTTAGCAAACCAAGACTAACAGTACATAGTATTATGTTGGTAATGATGTACTTGACTAACTTATCATGAGAATTCTACTACATGGATCATATTGTGAGTTTTTACACAGATAGTAAGATGTAATACTCCTTTGGCTTTAAATAATTACGGTTCCTAGCACAAAGAGTTGTGCACGATGAATCATAGTGTTATTCTCGGATTCAGCTTGTTATAGTTCTCTCCTAATTCTCAGGCACCTCTCAATGAAAGTACTAAATAATAGATTTAGCGATCTCATAGATAATATTAAAATCTCACAATATGCTACTTCCTCTGTTCGAAAATATTTTTCACATTTGACTTTTTTTTAATTAAAGTTTGTTAACTTTGACTTAGATTTGTGGAACAAATATATCATATAATGATATAAATTTAATATCAATATATTCCTAATGAAACGTAGTTTTGAAATATTAAATTTTTATAAAATACCTAAATCTATAAATATAGTACTAATGGTTAAAGCGCAATATTGGAGACTGTGAAAACTCAAATAAGAAAAATATTTCTAGACGGAGTATATATTAATCAATTTTGGCCCCCCTTCCTCTAACGAGGAAGGTCTATTTAAGCATGGAGATCTGAGATTGAACCATAATAAGAATCTGCATCCACAAATCTTGGAGGATCAAATCTTATTCTAGCAGTCACGACAGAGCCTCCTTAGCAGTCATCGTCTCTGCGGTCCTAGGGTCAAAGGGACAAGGAACTACATCGTAATTTTATTTTTTAATTCTAGATTGTTTTTCATATAAAATGATTTAAAAAGAACTTCAGACAAATATCGTAAACTGAAACAGAGGATTTAAATTGGGATGGAGGGAGTAACATTTATAACATGAGGGCTTTCACTTCTCCACATACTTCTCTGTCTCTAAAAGATTGTTACATTTTGACTTTTTTGATCAAACTGTGACCCTATTTGACCATACATTAAATATAGTTTAAATAATTAAATATTATAAAAATTTAATATTTCAAAACTATATTTTAAAATAAATCTAATTTTACTAAATTTATATTATAAGTAAATACACTTAATCCATAATTCATGGTCAAAGGGTGCCAGAATTTGACCAAAAGGATCAAAATGTGACAATCTTTTAGGGACGGAGAGAGTATAATACTCCCTCCGTCCCTAAAAGATTCACAATAATTTGACCTTTTTTTGTTAAACTCTGGCATCACAAATTAAATATAATTTAAAATACTAAAATATTACGGAGTATAAAAATTTGATATACTAAAATTATATTTTAAAATAAATCCAATTTTACTAAATTTACATTATAACTAAGTATACTTTTTTTTAATAATTAATTGTCAAAGAATTCTATAATTTGACCAATGACAATATTTGAGAGAGAGAGAGAGAGAGGGGAAGTAAAATATATTTTATGAGAATATTTTATTTGTGACTTTCTTTAAGAAGAAAGTGCATCGGCTCTCTCACGAAACCTGATGGGAATTTAATCCTCCCAAAAGCAAAATTAGTCACCCATAGGGAAACCACCCCGCATATATCGAGAGTGCAATTTGTCCAAACTTTGAAAATGTGTCGTCCGAACCCCCTTTTTCTTTTTTTATTTTTTGTTTATGAACACCGTAGGTTATGGTTATGGTTATGGAGAGCACAAAGTCAAACAGGTTCCGTTTACAATCCCAATTCCTAACCCTATTCAACTACTAATTACTAATTAGTAGTAATTCCCATTCATGCCCCCCATCAATTTTAATTTTAATTTAATGCACCCCCCCCATTCAACATATATTAATACCGGAGTATTTCCATAATATAACCCCCCTTTCTTCTTCTTCTTGATATCCCCCTCCTCCTCGCCTCGCCACTGTAACGCTCCCTATCTGATCGATCTCCTACGCGCATTGCTCCCGAATCCCCATCTCTCTCTCGGATCCACTCTGGGTTTCTTTCCGCCATGGGCAAAGGAGGAGCTCTGAGCGAGGGCGTGGTGAAGAAGATCTTGATTTCCTACGCCTATGTCGCCGTCTGGATCTTCCTCTCCTTCACTGTCATCGTCTACAACAAGTACATCCTCGATCGCAAGCTCTACAATTGGCCCTACCCCATCTCCCTCACCATGATCCACATGTCCTTCTGCTCCTCCCTGGCCTACCTCCTCGTCCGGGTCCTCAAGGTTTTCGAACCCGTCTCCATGTCCTGGGATCTCTACCTCAAATCCGTCGTCCCCATCGGCCTTCTCTATTCCCTCTCCCTCTGGCTCTCCAATTCCGCCTATATTTTCCTCTCCGTCTCCTTCATTCAGATGCTCAAAGCCCTGATGCCCGTCGCCGTCTACTCCATCGGGGTTCTCTTCAAAAAGGAGTCTTTCAAGTCCGAGACCATGGCCAATATGGTCTCGATCTCCATCGGGGTTGCCATCGCCGCCTACGGCGAGGCTAAATTCGACTCCTGGGGAGTGATTCTCCAGCTTGGCGCTGTGGCTTTCGAGGCCACCAGGCTGGTCATGATCCAGATTCTTCTCACCTCCAAGGGTATTACGCTTAATCCCATTACATCTCTCTATTATGTGGCTCCCTGTTGCTTGGCTTTCCTGTTTGTGCCTTGGGTTCTGGTCGAGTTCCCCGTTCTCAAGGAGAATTCCAGTTTCCATTTGGACTATTTCATCTTTGGTACCAATTCTTTCTGTGCATTTGCTCTGAACCTCGCCGTTTTCTTGCTCGTGGGAAAGACTTCGGCTTTGACTATGAATGTGGCTGGCGTGGTTAAGGACTGGCTGCTGATTGCCTTCTCCTGGTCTGTGATTAAGGACACTGTGACCCCTATCAATTTGTTGGGATACGGCCTGGCTTTCTTGGGTGTGGGTTACTACAATCACTCCAAATTGCAGGCCCTAAAAGCTAAGGAGGCGCAGAAGAAGACTGCACAGCCCGATGAGGAGGCTGGCCGGTTGTTAGAGGCAAGGGATGCTGAAAACGATAGGAAGAATGAGTCTCAGGGCTAAGTTAAGAAATCCTTGCTTCGATACTTGCAGCTTTGCAGGATGCTATAGGATGAGAAGAATTGAGATAATGAAGATGATCCGGTGGGTTTCTGTTCGCCGAGGACTCACACTTCTTAGGTGCCTTATTTAATAATCTCTCTTGTTTTGTTCTTTGCTATGTGTTTTTTGTCCATCTAATATTTTAGCTATAAATCGGTCTCTTTCTTTATGCGGTCTATAATGGATCTGACTTATTATTCGTTGCTTGTATTGCCACATCCCATATGTGTATGTGTCTTGAGCAGACTTGAGGCTCACTATCTCTTTTTCCGAACATAATGCATACGGAGTACTATTTATTGTTGTAGCTCTTAATTTCATGAGACGGGTTTTCTTCGTGTTCGTTTATCTTGTTCCATATAAATCACCCTGCCTTAAGCAATCTCTCGATTACCAACCCTTGATTGCATGGTGCATACTGTTTAAAAAAGTATTACTGAATGGTAATAAATTGGCCAACATTTAAGGTTGTGTATGTATCATACATAATCTGTACTATATAACTCTTTTCTTGACATGAATTTGGTTTAGGTTGTATGATAACAGAGGATGATTCTGTCACTTGTTGTTGTACTTGTTCTGCACCCCTTCATTACAAACTGTGCTGCCTAAGCTTTTGACACACAAAAATGAGAAATTGTTCTTTGTCCAACAAAGTCTTGAGTAGCTGTTCATTGCTTCTAGCTCATTTTGTCAAACTTAAGAAGCATATTACAATCCAGTTTTAAGATTTTCATGGCATTGGAATGGTGAGGTTGCATTTTAAGGTGATGCTTAGTGTCATCAACTCACAAACATACACATAGATTTCTTCATCCTATAACCCATTGATTGCCGCCATGAACTTCCGATCAAATCATGTGTTTGTGTAGTACCCCCTCTATCTTAAGTTAAATTGTTGGGTTACTATTCACATGGTCAAATTCCGTTCACGTTCTTCCCATATTTTTGTTATTCATTTGCTAAAATAATATGGCCATGTCACCTATTGTTTCATAGAATGTTTTATGTCGTTTTTCAATATGTAAATTTTATTTTTACTTACACCCCAATTATTAAATAAATCACATTGAAAGTAACTTCAGTCTATAATCGCCTCTTTCAGTGATTGTTCACCACAAGTTAAGCTGGGTTGGAGTTTCTTGGTTTTATTAGTTGAATTATGTGTCTCACATATTATTTGGTTCTTTGTATTTTTAATCATCTCACTTAGAACAAGTCCATTTATTGTTCTTGTTGCAAGTAGTTTCATCTCAAAGACTTGAGGAGCTGCAAATAGGTATAGTCTGTAAGCTCATACCAAGAAACAGGCCCAAAAAAAACCCCCAAATCTAAATGACGAACTTGTTGAAAGGTTCTCTCATTATTAAACTATTCCAATGTGTTTTTTTTATCGCCTCAAGTTACCTATGAAGGTTTGTGAGAAAAAACACCATCACCCTTGAATCAAGTTTTACAATCGGAATACAAAAATAATAACTAAATGATTCTATAATACACCTCGACTGGTAGTGAATGAAAATCTCACTTATTTTATAATGNCCCCCCCCCCCCCCCCCCAATTGTAGTACTAGAGCACTGGTGGCAGTAAGTAAAACTTTTCCCTCTCCTTCACCTCATCTCTTTTTGTGTGCTTATAAGTAGATTGGCAATTGGGTCAATCGGTTCGGTTCTCGTTCGGATATTTTCTGTTCGGATCTCTTTCGAATATATGTTATAATCCGTTCGGGTCAGTTCGGTTCCAAGTTTATTTTGGTTTGACTGGTTTTTAGTTTCGGTTAAGGTTTGTATCGATTCGGGTTTATATCAATTCGGGTTTGTATCAGTTTAGGTTTATATTGGTTCAGGTATATTTCAAATATATATACTAATACATCAATAATATCTCATAATAAATTTAGTCAATTTATGACATACTTCGTAGCTATTTTATTATATAACACAAACGTACATAAAAAAATAACAATTACATAATTTACTAATTATTTACATTCTAAAGTTTACTTCCTAAAGTTTTAGTCGCGATCTTTTTAGTTAACATTCTACTTCGTACTTTCTCTATTGCTATTTAACTATATATCCATTTCACTTTGTGTGTCAAATATTTGAATAACTATATATAAAAATATATAATAAATTAAAATATACATAGTAGAAGTTATTACCAAACTATTGGTATCGAAAAACACTTTAAATGTATTGTTTTTAAATATTTTTTGCTAAACTTTTTGAAGAGACGATGTTGGTCAAACTTAAGTTTGAAGACGATAAAATGGAAAAATACTTTAACTTAAGTTATAAAATAGAGAGTAAAAGATTTGTACATGGAAGTAGTTGCACGGTTTGCACCCATAATATAAATATGTGTTTTTAGAAACACATCAACATATGTAAAAATATATCAGTAATTCTTTTTTCTCCAAGTTCATTTGATAAATGAAATATTGATGAATTTGATCAATTTTGGGTCTAATCGGTTTCGGATTTAATCGGTTTCGGATTTAACCGGTTTGGGTTAAATCGATTCGGGTTAAATCAAATTCAGATCTGAATCGGGTCTGAATAGATTCGATTTGGTTCGGTTTTGGTTTGGATCATTTTGGGTGTTCGATTATATATTTCCTTTCTTTAGTTTTCGGGTCAATTTGGGTTCGGTCCTGGGTTATTTGGTTCAGGTTATCGAGTCCGAGCCAGTTTTGCTAAGTCTACTTATAAGCTGGTCAAAACTGCTTATAAGCTGTTTCGAACTTATTGCTCAGCAGATGACATGTTTCTCTGTGCTTCAAAACTGCTTGTAAGCTAAAAAAATAAGTAGGTCTTACTTACTTATTTTTAAATTAGTTTTTTCGTTTCTCTGTTATTATTACTATCCACAAATGAATTATATATCATTTAAGTCATCTTAAATGATATAAGGAGTTTATAAATTAAAAAGGGAAAATTGATATAAATACTCCCATAAATTCAAAATTTTACGATAATACCCCCAAATTTAATCAAAGACTCTGGTGCTCCGAATTCAACTATAAGTTTACATTACTACTCTCATTGTGCCTAATCAGCTTTTCTTACGCTTATATGCAAGTAATTATGCTTAGTTGACATCTTAGTTGTTTTTTTGTTTTAATAAGAGGAAAAAATTCTGTAAATACTCTCTAAAATTCAAGATTTTTCAATAAAACTCTCAAAACCAAATAAAGACTCCAGTACTCTAAAAAATATCTTCCTTTTACATGTTACAACGTTTCATAAAAGTGGTGTGACTCTAAAAAATACTCCCTTTAAAAAACTAATATAGTAATACAAAATACCCCCTCCGTCCAAAATTTATCTTCTCATTCACTGTTAAAAGTATTAACAAGATCAAATTTTATTTACTTTGCTTACCTATTTTAATTATATACTTGATAAAATAATATAATTATATCATTACTAGTTTTATAAATCTTATGATGTAGTTTTTAGATATATTATTTATTTTTTGATTTCACACCACTTTTATGAAACATCGTAACACGTAAAAGGAAGATATTTTTTAGAGTACTGGAGTCTTTATTTGGTTTTGAGAGTTTTATTGTAAATTTTGAATTTTAGGGAATATTTATATAATTTTTTCCTCTTATTAAAACAAAAAAAACAACTAAGATGTCAACTAAGCATAATTACTTACATGTAAGCTTAAGAAAAGATGATTAAGCATAATGGGAGTAGTAATATAAACTTATAGTTTAATTGGGAGTACTAGAGTCTTTTATTAAATTTGGGAGTATTATTGTAAAATTTCGAATTTCTGGGAGTATTTATATCAATTTTCCAATTAAAAATTAGTTCTAAGCAATAAGTTAATAATACCCAGCACAGAGAAACACCTGCAAACTCACTACCTTGAGTGGTCCTATATGGTATCATTAATGATCTCCATAAATCCGTGGCAAGAATCTTTCTTCATGCGAAGTAAGGAGTTTATGATATTCCAAAATTATGTTTCAAAAAAATCTATTAATATCATTTTTATATCACAACTTAATGCATTTTTTTCATAATTTGCGATCAAAATTTATGAAAGTTAACCACACAAATAAAAATGTAAGACGAAGGAGTATTTTTACGATTGATTATTGACAGGGAAAACTGTTTGTTTTAGTAAAACGCGTGGAATTGGTATTAACAAAGGAATCACCTACAAAGGGGTGATTGGGTACAAATAAATTACTTTAAATAAGAATAAAACATAGAAAAAATACCAAAATAGAAGCTCTACATTTTTATCTCAAAAATTGAAGTTTGCATTGTGATAATCTGACAGTGTATGTGGATATTTTTCACAATACTTTTTCATAATATCTATGATCATAATTTACACTGTATGTACTGTACATTTTAACGCTTATTTCAAATATAAAAATACTCTGTATAAAACTATTATTTTGATATATTTTAAATGTTTTAGTTCTATTGTAATATTTTTTTCTTTATATATGATGTTGGGAGGAAGGGTAGTCGGTAGATTATTTTAGCATTTTTAGGAGTATTTAATATTGTGAATTTATGAAGGGGTGTGACTATATCATCCATTCATCCCCATAATAAATAAATAAATAAAGGGAATATAACGAGAGATATGTTATAAAATGAGAGAAAAACTACTAAGAGATTATGAGAATAGATATAATATATTTCTGATTTCTTCTCTCTATTAACCTTTCACTCTTCTTCTTATTCTTAACGGTGATTACAATACATGGATTATGTCTCTATTTATAGTAGAGAGGCTTAGTATGAATACAAATGCAAGTGGGAAGAACAGTACAAAATTGATACTTATCAATGGGTGTCTTAATCTACTATTTTAGAAAGTAGGTCTGATTAATTGAATAAATGAACAATCATTAATTTCATAACACTCCCCCTTGAATGTTCATTTTTCAATTAATGATGGGTACTTCGTAAATGAGCATAGTTTAGTAACCCATTTTAATTTTATGTACTGCCTCGTTAAAATCCTTGTCAGGAAAAACCCAGTGGGATAAAAACCTGATCAAGGGAAAAAGAGTACAGTTCATAAAAGTCTCCCCCTCAGCTTAGCATAATTGACGGAGGCGACGCATGCCAATCTTGTGTATGAGTTCTTCAAATTTCTTTGGGGGCAACACTTTTGCAAATAAATCAGCAATGTTCTCACTGGACTTGATTTGCTTGATGTCAATCTTTCCATCTTTCTCGAGATCATGTGTTGAGAAGAACTTTGGTGATATATGATTTGTTCGGTCTCCTTTGATGTAGCCACCTTTCACTTGAGCAATGCATGCAATATTGTCTTCATATATAGGAGTCGGATGATTAGTAATTGTTTCTATGGCGCACCTGCTCTGGATATGTTGGATCATTGATCGCAACCATACACATTCTCTACCTGTTTCGTAGAGAGCTATCAACTCCGCGTG